CAAGGAGGAAAGTTCATGAGAAAAGCTTCCATGAAAATATTTATAGAAATGCCAGAGCGGAGCCACGTGATGGCGGTGGGAAAGTGATTGAAGTTGAGATGCCAGCTCAAGACTGATAACATTACAAACTTTTCTTTGAATTTTGTCTCTGAAAATAGATAATCGAAGCACCTGTTTCAATATGCTTATCTCCTTATCAATTTCCAGGAATTTACTATAGACATGTCTTCTTTCTTTTTCTATGTACCTTGTTCCTTCGGAACGTGAGAGGTCAACGTCTTTTCCTTTACAGCTCTTAACAAGTTTTGTCTTTTCTCCACCCCTCCTCGTCCCTATTCTGCCATCCATTTACACAAACTTATTTGGTAGGTTGTACGCAGTTTCCTTTTGGTCTTCTTACTATCAATCGAGGTGGCTTCGTTATATTCGCTTACACGCAAATAACCTTGGGAAAGGTTATGAATTCACCTGTTATTTCTCCAGCTATCGATTAATTAGTAAGACTTTTATCACTAAAAGTATTATTATCTAAAAAAATAAAAACAAAAATAAAATAAGTAAAATTATGTTCAAAATATTCAACTTTCGGTATTAAATAACTTATAGAGGCTGATGTGACAGTAAACAAGACCAACCAACCAAATTACTTTTAATCTGCCTTGTGAGTGTCAAATGATTTTTTCCGCATCATCTGTGCTAAACATGTCAACGGTCTCTTTCTGATTTTAAGTGTAAGCGTCCATTTAGTTTTCATTTTCTTTCACAATCTCTAATCACTCACAAACTTAGTATATCGGATTCTGAGCATCATTCAGTACTATATATTTCTGATGGTTCAAGTCCATCTGTGAAGAGATTGTTCAGCATTCATTGCCATATACAAGGATTTATATAATATAACATTTCAGCAATTTTTTTCTTTGTTTCTAAAGATTTTTTTCTGATAATCCTTCAGTAGTATATATTTCTGATGGTTCAAGTCCATCTGTGAAGAGATTGCTCAGCATTCATTGCCATATACAAGGATTTATATTATATAACATTTCAGCAATTCTTTTCTTTGTTTCTAAAGATTTTTTTCTGATATTCAGTAGTATATATTTCTGATGGTTCAAGTCCATCTGTGAAGAGATTGTTCAGCATTCCTTGCCATATAGAAGGATTTCTATTATATAACATTTCAGCAATTTTTTTCTTTGTTTCTAAAGATTTTTTCTGAGCATCATTCAGTACTATACATTTCTGATGGTTCAAGTCCATCTGTGAAGAGATTGTTCAGCATTCCTTGCCATTTATATATATATTTATATTATATAACATTTCAGCAATTTTTCTTTCGTTGTTTCTAAAGATTTTTTTCTGTTTCTTCATACGTTGCTGAGCTTCTGGAAGACATCTTTCACTATTTGCTGCCGGATTTCGATGTCACATTTTCCGTCCACTGTTCTACTTCCCACATAGCGTTTTATCGTTTCAGTTTTATTTCATTTTATTGCTTATGCTAGTCGGCACCCGCTCGCATCCTAGCATTGGGATCGTCATCTTTTCTCTTATTTCTTTTATCCCCTCTAGTGGAGACGGCTGCTAAGACCCAGCTACTCCTGAAGAGTTGTGAGCAGTAGTTAAAGAAGAGTGTGAGTGGCGGACGCGGCTGGGTGAGTCGGACCCTCCTGACAGCGCGTCGCAGATCTTCTTTATGTTGACAGTTGGACTTGAAAGTTTCGGTCCCTCACGAATGGTCCTACGTCAGGAATGCCGATTTGAAGCAACGGTTTCCCAGGTCTCAGGGTCGATGTTGGCCTGTGTCAGTGAGGTCTGCAATTGATCCTTGAAATGTAGTTTTGGAATTCTGCATAGCTTCTTGCCGGGTTGATACATGGGTCTCGAGTGGGACACATTCTGGAATCGTGACTCACCAAGCAGAGGCGATGTTGAAGGGTGGTAGCTTCGAGGCTGGAGAGAGATGTTAGAGAGAGGACCTTATTGTCGCTGATGCTGTCCTCCCAACTGATGTGATGGATTCTTCGGAGCTTCGTTTGCTGGAACCGCTCCAGACGTTTGACGTCCAGACAATACACAATTCATGTCGCAAAAGCGTGCAGAAGGGTGGAGAGGACCACGGACTGGAATACCATGATTTTGGTTTTTATGATGAGGCCATGATTACTGAAGACTCAGTGAGAGAGCGTTCCGTACGCATGAGACGCTTTTGATCCTGTTGTCTTTCTTGCAGGTGTCATTATTCGAGATGATGTTGTCAAGGTAGGGAAATTCATCGATGACTTCTACCGGTTCTCCGTCGATTTTAATGCTAACGTCCGGTGTTGCCTGTCCCGGGGTGGGGGGAGCTGGATGATGATGATCTTTTGAGGGCATCGAACTGCTTCCCGAAGCGTTTGTAGGCCTCGTTATACAGAATTTTATCGTTTCAGGTCATCTAATCTTTGAAAGACAGTTTTTATTATTCAATTTTTTAAGTATTTTCTTTTCAATTTATTCCGGAGGTGCGTGCAGTGTAAAAGTTACCGGTGCAGAAATGCAATCGGCGTGTCGAGTTCAAATTCTGGTCGATTTTCTTTCGTTTCCTTCGTGTTAATACCCACTGGAAAGAAAAAAAATCATGGATCCATCCTAAGTACATCTAGAATATTAATTCTCAACATGACAGTAACACTCCCTTGAGGGTAATATGAATTATCAATGGCTCCTCTGTGTTCAACGGAGTTATGGCGGATGGGAGTCTATGAATTTAACAGGGTCTCTTTTTCTTATATAAAGTGCTCATTATATAAAGGATCATGGCTCTCCACAACTACCTGCCTTTCGTAACTCCAAGAAAACTTTTCACGCTTTACCTTCTTTCGTTGTTCCTGCTGTCATCCATTTACACAGATTCGTTAGCGAGGTTAACCAACGTTTCCCTCTGCCTCACCTTCTCCGAATGGCTTGCGGCCACATCACGTTGAAACAGGGGTTCCCATACGATCACCGATGTTAAACAACATCTATGCTGGTCCAGATGAGTGACCGTTTAGCATTACCATGTGCTGTAAGCTTGGATGTGACGGTGGTGCAATGTATTTCGAAATCGGAGAACCGAGTTCCAATTCCAGTCGATTTTATTATATTCACTTACCTGCAAATACCCCGGGGGAAGGGTATGGATCCACCTCTTCCCCCTCCAGCTATGAGTTAATTAGTAGTCTTTTATAAATAAAACATTATTATTTCTAAAAAATTCTTACAATGTAAAAATATTTCGTGGCTTTAAAGAATCTGCAAATGGTTGCTAAAGCCATAAAAAATATAACTCAAAAATCTTTAGTTGGTTATTTAGAAAGAACAATCACCGATGTACAGTATCTAGATGGGTGACCGCTTAGGAATATCAGGTGTTGTAAGCATTGATGTCCGTGTGGTGTAATTGATAATGGCTCGAAATTGGTAATCGGAGAGCTGAGTTCTACTTCCCGTTAGGTTCGTTATATTCACTGACGCGCAAATGACTTACACCAATGTATACGTTTTCTTCATTATCTGGTGATTTTGCCGTGGCTTGGTAAACAACGTAATATACCAACGTATACGATCGCTAAAGCGTGAAACCCAGGGTCACAAACTCACATCTATCCAACCAAATATATATATATATATATATATATATATATTCACAGATGTATTACTCATCGGTGTGTATAGACATCCTATATTATACAAGGCGGGATCGAAATTCATTTGATTTGATATGAAAGTGAAATGGTATATTTAATGCATTATATATGTGGCATATAAACGCCATACGGTCGCCATAGCGCTCAATTCTAATCATTTAAAGCAACAGCGGCCGTTAAAAATTCCCTTTTCTCCATAGTGCTCAATCAGCGAACAACAGATTAGTCATCCGCAGACAGACTGTTTCACTGTATCACAGCTCATCACTGTGTCTAGACATCCGATTGCTTCAAGCGGGGGATCGAAATTCGACAGATTTGACATCAGTCATTGACCATTTTCCAATATCGACGTACGACAGAGAAAGAGAATTTCGTAATGCATTACATATGTGGTATATAAACGGCATACAGACGCCACTGAGCTCAATTCTAACGAAGAGCGATGCATTTAAAATATATATATATATATATATATATATATATATATATATATATATATATATATATATATATATAGCCTGACGTGCTTTTACCGATTTCGCCACAGAGGAATGTTTCGGTTAGCTATGTCGATTTTACTGTTTTTAAACTACAATTTTCCATGATTTTCTCACTTACATTCATATCTGCTTGATGCGTATCCAATTGTAAACAAATGACATCACACATTATGAAATAGGCAATTATTTTAAGACATTTTTATGTTCATACATTCTTTTTTATAGATACAAATATTTAATTAAATGTTCTCTTTCTAATAAAATTATAAACATGTATAGGAAAATTGTAGTTTATGTATATATATATATATATATATATATATGTGTGTGTGTGTGTGTGTGTGTGTGTATAATTAGCCGGAAAAACCAAAATTCTAATCCTCTATGCACATATGTTTGTTCCCGAGATACAGCTTAACTGATGGATAATACCACAACCTATTTAGGAGTATATTGTGCAGTGCCTCCCGCAAAGGCCGAGTGCATTGTCAAATTTGTGCTAGGACCGCTCTTCTCTTTTTACGGTATTTTTTTAATAGGAAATTCAGTATTTTTTCAATATGGATTCTTATAACAATCTGCATATATCAGCAGACAGTGGCATATTATTTTCCAACTATTAGGAGTGTGAAAACGATAAAACTTCATAATAAATTATAACAATATCAATTAAATAAATTTAAATATTATACAAGTATTTCATTTTCTGGACATAATGTGTATAAAATCTATCAAGATCTTCAAGATATTCGATTGATTTCGACTGTTCTTTTAACCATTAGCAAGAAAACCTCCAAACCGTCTTGTGGAAAATGCGACAATAATAAACTCCATCTACATTTAAAAGACAGCTTACAATTATGGAATCATTAATATTTTTAAAAAATCCAAAAAAAATCAACATTAATTAATACCAACTATGATCATAGCGTACAGGCCGTGATTGAAAAAATATTCCCATCATTGTAGATATAGATATATAATAGAGAGCGAGATAGTGAGGAAGAAGAAGAGAGAGAGAGAGAGAGAAAAAAAAAAGTGTGTGTGGGAATGCACGTGACTTTGTGATATCAAAAAGCACACAGTAGCAAATTTTTTATGCGTGAGTTGCTTCCTATATTCTTAGGTTTTCTGCCCCTTCTTGCTTTCAATTACTCAGATTAGTAATCGTTCCCCAGACGGAAATAGATAGATAGATAGATTGATAGATACATAGATAGATAATGAACAAATCATATATATATATATATATATATATATATAGATAGATGAATAGATGATAGATAGACAGAGATAGATAGAAAATATAGAAAGATAGATAGATAGATAGATATATAATAAAAACAAAGACAGATAGATGGATAGATAATAAAAAAATAGATAGATAGATAGATAGATAGAGACATACATACATACATACATGCATACATAAACAAACTAAGAGAGGCAGGTAGATAGATAGATAGATAGATAGATAGATAGATAGATAGATACATACATACATACATACATACATACATAAACTAAGAGAGGCAGATAGATAGATAGATAGATAGATAGATAGATAGATAGATAGCGTGGGTGAGAGAGAGTAAGTGAGATAGCTAGATAGATAGATAATGGACAAAGACTGAGAGATAGATAGATAGATAGATAGATAGATAGATAGATAGATAATGAAAAAAAACTATGATAGATAAATAGATATGTACTGAAAAAAGAGACAGTACATAAAAACACACACACACATACAAACATGCACACAAATATATATATATATATATATATATAGATAGATAGATAGATAGATAATGAACAAACTGATAGATAAATAGATACTGAACAAAGAGACAGATACATAAACGACACACACACACACACACACACACATATATATATATATATATAGATAGATAGATAGATAGATAGATAGTTAGATAGATAGATAGATAGATAGATAGATAGATGATGAACAAAAGATTAGAGAAAAATGGGTAGATAGACAGATCGATAGACGATGAACAAACTAAGATAAATCAGGAACAACATGTACAATATATATAGACAGAAATGTAAGTAAGTAGGTAGGTATATATGTAGGTAGTTAGATAGTTTGGCAGGTAGGTAGGTATTGAGTTATGGGCGAAATGAATGTATTTATTGTTTCATCTTTCATTTATAATTCCGCTGCTAGTGTCTTCTTGTATTTCGGGCAGTTGTCATTTTTAGTATACATTCATAAGAAACAGGGCGAACAAGATCTTAGTAGCACTAAAAATAAACATGGGCAGCGTAACAAGAAAGGTCTACCCCAGTAGATCAAATTAGGAATTCCCTGCATGTAACCCGGGTCGACATACACATGATAAATTCGGAAGTCACAATGGGAGTAATGTTGTAATAGCAAGAATAGAACAGTCCACATGTAGATAGTGTTACTAATTGTTAATATATATATATATATATATATATATATATATATATATATATATATATATGTGCGTGTGTGTGTGTGCGTGTGTGTGTGTGTGTGTGTGCTGGTATGTAGAAAATAGGAAAGAACACGTTAGGTAAATAATCCGGAGTTCTTTAGTGTTTTTGTTTTTATTTTTAAAAAACAGTGCTCCATACAGAAGTAGAGCTTATATTATAATTATTACTTTATTTTTTTTAAATAAATATAATTTAAAAAAATAATTATAATCTAAAAAGAAATTATAATTTTAAAATATAATTATAATTTTCAAAAATAATTATATATATATATATATATATATATATATATATATATATATATATATATATATATATATATATATATATATATATATTAAATCATTTTACAACATTTTTTTCTCTTTAGAGGTTATATATTTCTTATGACCCATAGCAATATTGAAATATTTTAGATTTATATTAAATATCGTTAAGTATACAATGATGTCTCTCTCTGTGAAAAAAAGAGTAAAAACTCATGCGGTATTACGTAAATAAAATTTTGTCAGCATCGGTTAGTTATTCTTATGTACACATTGAATTGCATAATAAAATAAAAAAAAACTTTTATGAAGGCGTCTGTATAGACAAAACTAAATTGCAGAGGAATTAAAACCACTTAAAATATTTTGCAAAGAGAGTCTTGGGAATAAGTTCAGGAATCTCTCTCTCTTTCCCTCTCTCACTCTCTCTCTCTCTCTACACACACACACACACATATTGTAATTAGGAAAGAATCCCTTAAAAATCTATATTGTTTTCGTAATTATTATCATTTATTGCTCAGTATCATACATTGAGCTCTCATGTGGATTAAAACTCCCCTTTGGGCATAATCTCTGCCAATTACAATTAGATATATCCGAGTCATTAACGATTACACCATCGGAACATCCAAGATTACATAACTTGGTATTCATAAGCAGTCACCCATTTAGTTACTGACTAGTCTCTATGTTGCTTAACTTGACGAGAACTAGTGTATATATATATATATAACTATAACATTTATTCTTCTAAGGACACAATAAGACCAAAGACATTCTGAAAAAAAGAAAAAAAAAAGAGTTGGAAGATGAAAGGAATATATAGATGGATAAAGAGATAAATAGATAGAAAGAGAAATATATAGACAGATATTAGGCTGGAATAGTTTACACTACTTATATATATATATATATATATATATATATATATATATATATATATATATATATATATATATATATATATATATATATATATGTATGTGTGTGCGTATGTTTAAGCATGTAGATATCATTTTATATGAGTGCTTATAGTTTTGTATATTATGGTAAAGGCATGAGGCCATGTGATTTGTCTCGAAATATGAATTGGTCTACCAATATATTTGATGTACATTTAAGAATAATGGCAAAGGAAGCCGAGACTTTAACGAAGAACTGTCACCGGCGCCGCTATTTAATTTATAAAATGGGGGATTTGTATAAGAGATTACTTACCTAGACAAGTATACAGACATACATATATGCATACATACATACATACACATACATACCCACTCATATATATATATATATATATATATATATATATATATATATATATATACACACACTCATAGAAATATACACACATATATATGCGTGCGTTTTGTGTGTTTTACTAGTGTATGATTGCATATATTCGTGTAAACCTGAGATTACTGCCCAAATATATACTTAAATCTGTATGCCTACACACGCTCACATACATACACACAAACAAACATATATATATATATATATATATATATATATATATATATATATATATATGTGTGTGTGTGTGTGTGTGTGTGTGTGTATATATATATATTTGTGTGTATGTGTATGAGTGTGTTTCTGAATCTACGTGTATATATAGGTAATTATGTCAATTGTACAATTTAACATGTATATCTATTTAATAACGTAATATACGAATATGCTTTAGTGACATTTAATTCATATCTATAATCTTCATAAAACCTATATACGCACCCCATATATATATATATATATATATATATATATATATATATATATATATATATATATATATATGAAATCAATTGCATCTTTATATTTAATTACATCTATTTCTACACCGTCTATTTGTATAGGAAGATGTGCCATTTGTAATCTTATATATATGTATATATTTTATGTCTGATTGTGTCACTTACCAATATTTATAAGCATAATTCGTGAAGCCTGCGCTCGTATGTATTCCTCAAACACACAGATACACAAACACACAAACACACATATATATATATATATATATATATATATATATATATATATATATATATAATCAAGAAAAACCTTAAATATTCATTCCGGTTATAATTTATTTCGTCAATATTATTCGTCTCTTCAGACCGAAATACTTTAGTAAATGCCATCTTTTGTTAAAAAGACCATTTACAAAAGAGTAATATATAGATATTCACGAAATAAATTATAACTGAAATGAATATTTACAATCTAATATTTATATATATATATATATATATATATATATATATATATATATATATGTGTGTGTGTGTGTGTGTGTGTGTGTGTGTTATAAAATGAAAAGAACAGTAAATATATACTCGGTGTTCTTATTTATAGTTTTATTTTGACAAAACACTGCTCAATGTAAATTTAAAGAGCATAAATATTATAAATTAACTGATTTAAGATATGGTTTCTTCGCTACACAGTAATAACCATGTTTCAAAAAAACCGAAGCTAAAAACTTCAAAATCATTAGTTCTGTTTCATCTTCAAGTGAATTTTGGAATAACTCATTTTTAAATTTACTGAATATATAACTAATTGTAACGAATTTACTGAATATATATATATATATATATATATATATATATATATATATATATATATATATATATATATATATATATCCTTAAAAAATTTGTTACAACTAGTTATATATTTGCTAAGTTATCATGTATGGGAGCTGGTCATTCACAAATCGAGAGAATGACCAGTATACTTTTTGAGATTGTAAAATGTCATTGTGCCTCATATTGAAATATGCCTGATTTTGAACTACATTTATTTTTAAGACGCTTGAAGACTACTGAAGACCAACATAAATATCTGATAAAATGTGAAAAATAATGTTGAGTAATTACTTTTTTCTTGCATGTAAACGATTTTTTTATGTGAATTAAAAATATTTTCGAAAAATTTTCGTAATTTTAACTTTCCTTAGAACGTAAAATGGTTGAGTGCTTTCTGAAGTCTATCTCAGCTCTATACTTCTAAGGCCCCCACCTGAACTCTGAATTTTTACATTTAATATTTATTTCTATTTTTTTAATGTTCTCCTTAATAGGAGTTGATAGGTTTACCTATCACCCAGTTCACACACCTCCACGGTTTTTCAAACAGAAGTAGATGTTTATACTTTGTTCCTTGTTTAAGGTTGTGTTTCTGGTTCCTTCTAAAATCTTTTCATTCTCTTTCCCTCCCAGTAGCCTCTTTATATCTATTGTATCTCGTGTTTTTCAAGATAACAGGGAAATAAATAAGGAGGATAAACTTGTAGGTAAGTAATGAAAACAGAAGGTTTACTCCACCGAAGATACACAGCAACTGACCTAATGCTAACTCAGCTCAACTCCGCTTATTTATATAAATGGACGATTCCATTCATTTATGTCCTATATAACAATATCTTAGTGGCTTTATCACCTTGTTGGGAGTGAACTGATAAAAAAATAGAAAATAGAATGTCACCAGTACTTTGTTAAAATAATTTCTTTTAGAATACCAGTAGTAATAGTACTATAGTAGTAGCTATGTTGTTTGAATAAATAATATTATAGCTTTGAGTGAGGTAGAAGTAGTCATTTGATGTAAAATTATAGTCTATAGTATAAAACTAACTTAAAGGAGGCCTCAGTTATGCGTATAAGGCACAGAGCAATATGGCTGTGGAGTAGATATGTTCACCTATCGTCTGGTTTAAACACCTTCCTAGTTTTTTGAACAGGAGTAGAGGTTTATCCCTTGTTTCTTGTTTAGGATTAGGTTTCTGGTTCCTTCTCAAGTCTACTTCTATAATTCTAGCCTGAACTCTGAAATTTTATATTTACTATTTATTTTTGTATTTTTTTCTTCAATAGGAATAGGTAGGTTTAACTATTGCCTGGTTTAGACTCTTCTTTTGATCAGGAGTACAGGTTGGTTCGTCTTTAGCATTTGATTTCCGGTTCCTTCTAAAGTTTTCCCATTGTCTTTTACTCTCAGTAACCTCTTGCGTCTTAGGGACATTAGCGCCTCGCTTGGGATCGATTAATTAATTTTGGGATCGATTAATTAATTATATATATATATATATATATATATATATATATGTAAGGCTTAAAATTTATTATTCGATGGTTATAATTTATTATATTGGGATCGTAATCACGATCCAAATCATCAAACCTACAAATTCAAAAAAAAATCGAAAGTTTGAATTTGTTTTTGAATTTGTAGGTCTGATGAACAGGATCGTGATTATGATTCCATTGTAATAAATTATAACCATGGAATATAAGTGTCTGATCCTTTTATATTATATTCTTGCTCTGTCTTTGACATTGAGCTCTACCTATGTTCTATCCTTTTGGAAATATATATATATATATATATATATATATATAATTTAAAATATAAATACAAGCATTAATATATACTGGAATATACACGACTGTTTTCACTACTCTGTGCAATCAAGTAACATGTATGTCAATACGTGTACTTATGTGCAAATACACCTATTTGAGAAATGTATCTTCGACACTCCCACAGAAACACAAACACTCCCCGACATACAAAAAAAAAAAAAACTCTACACATATATATATACGAAGTGCATTCAAAACATTTTGAGAAATTTTAAGGAGAGATATTTAATAAGTTCAAAGAAAGACAAAACTAATTGATTTCAAAAGCCATACGGAAGTCATCCAAGGTGAAAGAGTCCATGTCCTCCTCTTCTTCATCTTCTCAATGTCTTCAAAACGACTGCCTCTGCAGTTCTTCGGGTTAGGAAACAATCAACATTGATATGGGGTCATGTTTTGATTATAGAGAAGGCGAGGGACAATTTATGTACATCTTTGTCAACACAAACTTAGCATAGCGAGCTTCTTAACTGTCTTCAAAGTCTCAATTGCATTCTGCAAACAAGTCAGCTGTGACAAGCAGTGTTTAGTATGGTGTGTTCAAAGACATGCTAGAGCCGTCTCTTTCAACTTGGAATCACAAAAGTTGGCAGATCAGCTTATTAGATGTAAAGTAATGATATGCTAAGATTACAATAAACTAAGACAGTTGTATCTGCCTCTCTTAAAAAAGTCTCAGAACTCCTGGGATATGTATACGTGTACATCCCCCCATATATATATATATATATATATATATATATATATATATATATATATATATATAGTTGGATAGATGTGAGTTTGTGACCCTGGGTTTCACGCTTTAGCGATCGTCTGCGATCGCTAAAGCGCAAACCCAGGTCCCTCAATCTAATCAACCAAATATGTTAGCTCTATCTCTGATATTAAGCGCTTTCTAATAAGTACCGCACATATAATATATAAATAATTATACATATATATATATTTATATACAATTTTCACACACACACACACACACACACACACACACACACACACACACACACACACACACACACACACATATATATATATATATATATATATATATAAGGTCATGAAGACGTTAGTGGCGTCCTACTTCGTTGTAAGCTGAATATTCATCAGAAATTTTCGCTTTCTATAGTGATCGATCTAATTAATTGATTAATATTCTCCACCAAATTAAAGTGCATTGGAAATTATTTAGAAAGTGGAATACATAGGAGAATAGAAATTTCTTTTTGAAAATGAAAGCTTTTTTCACCATTAGGAGACGCGTATTGTTGCATATACGTAGCATGATGTGTATTGTGTATAGTCATATATATATATATATATATATATATATATATATAGGTGTGTGTGTGTGTTTCAAACGTGTTTTGATAAATTATGCGAGCAAATTCTGTCTATCAATCATTTTATTTCATTTTTTAAATTTCCGAAAAATTTGTTCATATTTATTTTGATTTTATATTATTGTTTTCCGAGTACTTTCGAATGTTGCTACATTCGTTTTCTAGGATTGTTCTATGTATATTTATGCAATTGTTTCTTTTTTTAATTCCGATATTCCCACATTAAGGGAACCAATTTCAAGTCACTCAAGGGGACGACATTTAAACGGTCAAACTGAATTTTTTAAAAACAAAACAAAACAAGAAAAAAATAAAAACCCTTCAATAATCAGTCCCCGATGGAGAAAGACATCTTATTTAATGCCGGCTGCTTTTGTTTTTCTTCCATCAGCCTCCGGAATTTGGAGTCTTTCTTTGCAATGTGTCTTATAAAAAAATTAGGTGTTATTTAATAAAATTTGTCTTATGTCCATCAATATTTGTGTGAATTGCAGTAAATTTATATATATATATATATATATATATATATATATATATATATGTGTGTGTGTGTGTGTGTGTGTGTGTGTGTATTTGGGTGGATACTACAAGAATACGTACAATTTTATCTTATTTTCTCGGTCGATTTATCATTGTTTTATACATACATATATACCTACATACATATATATATATATATATATATATATATATATATATATATATATATATATATATATAAGGAAATATATATTGCTTTTGTTTTCTTACATCAGCCTCCAGAATTTGGAGTCTTTCTTTGCAATGTGTCTTATAAAAAATTAGGTGTTATTTAATAAAATTTGTCTTATGTACATCAATATTTGTGTGAATTGCAGTAAATTTGTACATGGAGTATTAGTGTTTAAGACTTTTTATTTATATTATATATATATATATATATATATATATATATATATATATATATATATATGTGTGTGTGTGTGTGTGTGTGTGTGTGTGTGTATTTGGGTGGATACTACAATCTCGTACAATTTCATCTTATTTTCTCGGTCTATTTATCATTGTTTTTATTATATATATATATATATATATATATATATATATATATATATATATATATAAGGAAATATATGGATATAGATCCGACAGTATGAAGAAATATATATACGGAAAAAACAAACAA